AAAGGACAGTGTATAGTGTAAAAGATGTGATGTCTGCTATTGTCAAGAGAGAAGAGTTTTTAGTAAATGCTACTGGTACTAGACGTACAGGATTGAAGGAGATCCTAGCTGATGAATCATTATCAGATATTAGTACCCTGTCACTATTAGGAGGACGTGATATTAAGGTAAGAATTAACACACACAAACTGTTTGATACATTAATACAAGCACTGATAATCAAAAGGTCATATCTTTATTTCTTATTAAATTACTCAGTCTTTGTCATAATTGTGGGTTGTCATTGTGTGGCTTTTACTACTAATAATATGTACTTGTACATCTGTTAAACTCACCTTTCAGCAATACACTACTGATGTATATCACCTTGATAAACAAGCACAGTGACAAATATCAGTTATTATTATTATTATTGTATAGGAAGTGATTGGACTAACTGAAGAATTCGAGACACCATTGACTACAATAAAGCTAGGTATGTTATAATATATTACAATTGTCAATTATAGTGAGAGTGTAAACTGTACTATTAATTATTATTTTTATAGATATTAAAGATCTTGATATTGTCATTGAAGAGCTAACAATACTCAATCAGTTACCTTGCCATATATGGCATGATTTTGGTCTTCAGCTAGGACTTTATCAGCCAACACTAGAAGACATCAATGAAGATAATAATGGAGACTCTAAGAAGTGCTTCAGACAGTGTATGTCTGCCTGGTTAAGAGGAAAAGATAAAGTAAGAGAGAAAGGAGGTCCCAGTTGGTCATCATTAGCTACAGCACTGGATAAAGAAGGAAAGCATCACATTGCCACTAGCATTAGAGATAAATATTGTCAATAACTAACTGACAGTAACATATCAAGTTTGTATTTTTTCTTAGGCTAGTGTGTGATTTATATTGTTGTCATTTCTGTTATTATTATTGTTCATAATTTTAAAATCATTTTGGAATAGCTCAAACTTTCTATAAAAAGGGCATCAATGTGTCAGAAGAAGTAATAAAAATTTGGGGTGATTTTGGAGCCATTTTTTGGAAAAAACCATGGGCTATAGCCTTGGGTACTTTTCAACAATTGGCTCATTTTTAAAATGGCTGTAACTTGAAATTTGAAGTCGGAATCAGCTCAAACTTTCTACACAGCACAGGGTTTACCAGAATTGATAAAACATTACAATTAAAAATGATAATAAAATGAAAAAATAAAAATATTAAAAAACAAAGAATAAATGAGTAAACAAAGTGAGTGTTTATCTATTTGTTTATGAACCATTAAATGCCTTCAGTACCTCCTCAGTATCAAATTTGAAGTTTATCAGTGATACAGCTGGTTTAATGAGCTTAACGTTAAACAAGTTCTTAACGGCAGTGGGCAGAGTTGGGCTCCGATCGGGACTGAAAAACCTTTGAAGTGGTCTAGTGTATAATAATGGTGGGGATGGTTGGTAGGCGGAGTCCAACATTATTGGAACACTAAAAGACCCAGTGGAGCGAGGAGTATAATGATTAATAGATGAATTATGGGCGGAACTGATTGTGGGCGTGGTTGATAATGAATATGAATGAAAGGAGGCGTGGTCGAAACTAGAGGGGGTGTGGTTAATGCCGTAAGGTGATGAGTATAATATCGGAGATGTAACACGTTTAGAGTGAGGGGTTAGCGGTTTGGGATGGGAGGAGCTTACAGTGAGTAGGTGGGTGTGTCTGGATAAAGGGGTGGAGCTTGGAGGGGTGGAACCTACTGATAATAACGAGGAGTTGTGCTTAGTATGAGAATTCTTTTTATATTTATGAATCCATTGACGTAATGGCCTAACAATATTAACAAGAGTAGATAATAATAATAATAATAATAATAATAATAACAACAACAATAATAATAATACTGATATTACTTACCCTATATATGGTATTACCACATAAAATTTGTTGGCGCTTAGTTTTAAATGATTTTTGGACGTTTCATCATTTTTATGCGATGGAAGCTCTTTCAAGTTGAACCATTGGATCCTCTAGAAACAAAGAATATTGTTACTAATAATAGCATCAGTTCTATTTATAGCAACATGCTATCATTAATCTATTTATAGCAAAAAATTAATATAATATTATCATTAGTCTATTTATAGTAACATGTAATCATTAATCTATTTATAGTAACATGCTATCATTAATCTATTCATAAATATTACTAATCTATTTATAGACAATCATTAATCTATTTATAGTAACATACTCTTATTTCCTTCCTAGCCACAGGTTGGAAGACAGTATCTTCAGATACATTGGTGATGATGTACATTCTGGAGTCCATATCCTTGTGCTTCACCTGCAGGTACTGGTCGGGTTTTATGACGTCTTTTATATCAAGACCGACCTCTTCATATACCTAGGGACACGTTACTATAGTAACCACAGACCATACCCTCACCTCTCTAACGGCAGCGTCAAGGTCGGTTTCGTTAGTTTCTTTCTTTCCTTTGGGAAACCCCCAGGAGGTGGAGGCTGGGTAACCCTGGACTAGCACACACTAATATTGGATAAATAATAAATAATAATAATAATAATACAATACTGTGTCTCTGGAAATTTATGCTTTAGAAAATTTATACATAATAAGAGTGTGTCATGCATTATTGAATGCAGGCATGTAAATATATGTACGATTTGATTTTTGTGAATTTCTAATCCAGCAAAAACCTTTTGAAAAGTCATGGCAAAATTTTCCGCCAGATAGGATAATAATAACTCAATAATAATAATAATGATTTAAATTAATTACTTTCTTCATATTATCATTGAGTAGTATGGCTCCCCTAACAGGTCTGCTGTGTTTGTACACCTTCCACTGGTCGGCCAGTGCCAGTGGATCAGTTCTTGTTAGATGAGGACAGTAATGTAATACTATTAATTAGTGGGAGGGGCTTAAGAATATTAACCACGCCCACACGTACTTGTAGATACAAATTCTTTGAAAGAGCAGGCAGGAAGGGAAGGATCCTCTGGTCTAAGAAGGTCGAGATAATGCCAGTGAGCTTGTTCCAACTGATTGGCTAATTCCATTAGGTCAGACTTCTTGTCTGTTTCAATTGGGGACAGGAACAACCTATTCAGTTATAATAAATCTTTTAATTTATAATAACCGGCAGACCTGACTAGTTCGTCTACAGTAGCTCTGTTCATTTTGACTACAGTGGAACTGTTACTAGCCATATTTAAACAGTAAGTGACACGGAGAGTATACGGAACCAACGAATGCTATCGTCTAGTTTACGGGCGTGAACCGAGAAAAACCAAAAAAATACATAACAAAACTGTGACAATTAAAAACTAATTATTATTAATTTATTATTAATGTAGGAGTTTGAGGTGATTATTACTCCATTTTAGTTTGTGATTCTGCTGCTTTTTGTCTCTCCTTTTCCTTCTTCTTTGCCTCCACTTCATCTTGATACTTCTTTATAAGCAGATCAACTTCTCCTGATGGAAGTACCTCAATAACAGTGCGGCCATCTTTCCTTGTCAGTGTGGCAAACTCAACTAACAACAAAATAATAACAATAATAATAATAGTCATAAAATACTGTATAGCTGGTTTATTTAATGTGGAATTAATTTTCATGTAGGCTCAAATCCACTAAAACTAATTCCATTTAACATCAAAGAAATACCGTAAATAAAAAAAGAAATACAGAAAATTTTTGTGTTTTAAAATTGAGCTGTGATTTAACTTTTACTAAATAAGGCTGTAAATTAAATGTGACATGCAATTATATGGGTGATCTAATTTTTTGCAAAATTCTAATGCATTAACATTAAAATGATAGTAAAAGATGGTATTAACAAAGATTGCACAAACCACAAAAATTAATTCTAATTAAGAAAATTAAAAAAAAATTTGAAGCCACGGCTATACGGTATATTGTTTTTCTCCCTAACCTTTTTCAGAGTTCAGTTTGGTACTGTCTAGTGTCTTATGCAACACTTTGACAGCAAGATCCAGCCCATCTTTAAGATCAATGTCATCTTTATACTCCTGCTTAAGCATTGATATGGCAGCCTGGTGGTTATTACCGACACAAGTTGCTTTCCAGCCTCCATAGTTACCGCTAGGATCAGACTGGTACAGCTGGTAATGGTAGTGAGGGTCCCAGCCCATAAATAATATAGACACACCAAATGGACGGAGGCCTAGTTAATATTATTAATATTATAATCACTGTTAGATCTAGAGGGAGTTTAGGAGACTTTTGGTCTCTTATATTTGGTCTGGGTCTCCTGAAATTTCCCCAAGTCTGCTTTTGGCATATCTCATATTTAGCCTTAGGTGTCCTTAAGCCTCCAGAGCATTTATAGTTAGATTGGTTTCCCAAAATTAATGTTAATAATAATAATTAATGTTAATATTAATTATTATCAATTACCTCCAAATTGAGTGTACTGCTGTTTCAAGTCACATATCTGCATCACCAGCTGTTCACACGGCATGGCCTCCTTGTACACTAGCTCATACCTGTAGGTGTGGTCAATGGGAGGAGTCTATTAATTATAGAATTACTTTTGAGCAGTTTGTCTCAAGTAGTTAGTAAGGACGTTAGCATCTGACGTGATACCCGCCACACTGCAGGCCATGTTACTATAATTAGATACGCATGACGTCATATACTATAAATAGAATATACGCACTCGTGTAGTCTGTATATTTTTTCAGAGAGAAACACATCGTCCAATAGTTTATTGGTGTTTTTTCTCTCAGCTGCTAAGAGTACGCCATCTTTAGCTAATATACCTAAGCAGGTCCCAGCATGTCCTATAGCCTCCATAGCGTATTCAACTTGATAGAGACGACCTTAAAATTATAATTAATAATAATTATTATAACAATTGATAATGATAAACCTTCTGGCGAAAATATAGTAGTTTTAGTGTCATATCTTCTAGCCTAAGCAAAAATAGTAACAATAAACACATTATTTATTTATTGGTATTTTCTAACCATTTTGAATCAAAAGTTCTTGTATAGGTCCTACAGGAGCAAGTACAACGTGCAGATGAGAAAGGGTTAAAATTAAATTAATAACTTGCAGAAATTGTGGGAGGGGCTCGTTATAAACCAATATTGAATTACTTAAAAAGTCAAAAGCATTATATAAATGATATTTTAATTATAGTAGCAAGCAAGCAGATCAAGTATTAGTTCAAGGAAGCAGTTTCTTTATTTCTTGAGACTTTTTAGAATCCTTTTCAGACTTGACTCTCACTTCAAAAATGTCCACACCAGTTAGGAAGTTGTCAAGAAGATAGCTCCATATGAATCCCATTATAGTAAAAGTATTGCCCCTGGAATTATGAATAATTATATAAACTGACAGTTAATGAGGAAGTACATACCATTCAAACATTGCTAGTGCTATGCTACCACCTACTGAAGTGAAGCTGAATACTACAAAAAATAAATTAAAAAAATAAAAAAGTGAATACCGGTAGATAAATAAATAAACAATATAGTAACTTACTTCCCAGTGTGTAGCCAGTTCCAGTGATGACTCCAAGAATAGCACAAATAGTTTTAATAATAAAAGAAGATACAGTAATAGTTAGACCAAATCCAGTGCAGTTAGAAGGCTTCCTTGTGATGGTAGTTAGAACTGATATAATCATGTACAGGTCATAGCATACAAAGAATAGCACAGAAAAAACTGTAAATGAAAAGAATTAATGATAATGCAGTATAGCAGGGAATTTGGTGGTACAATTAGGTTAAGAATTTAGAGAATTTTAAAAAGTGGCAGACTACAGTGAATTTTTAAAATAAAGTCAACAAAAAGGAATTTTATTGTCTATTTTAGACTGCAGACATTTTAAGCTACACTGTGTACTACATTATATATCCACATACATAAATGTACAGAACCGTCTTCAACTTCATTGACCACTGCAAGGCCTCCAAGACTTATTGATGCTACCAGGGCCAGCGCTGCATTTAAACCGCTCAAAGGCCTGTCTTTATTTGCATAATGGACAATAAAGGCCGATAGAGCAATCAAACTAGCCCCAAATACAAAACCAAGACGAAACAAGTACATCTCTGGTGGCTTCACTGCACAATCACTAATCAATGGCAGCCAAGCAGGGACGTGGCCAAGAGCTACAGCAATTGTATAGCAGGTCAATATTGTAAGGAGCATCTCAGAGACTCCATAATGAACTATCTGTCGAGCTGTAATTTTACTGAGAACATCCATCTTCCTGCAAGCACAGCAACAGCAGCCCCACCCTTTTAAGCCACACCTACTTGGAAATATAGTAGTATGAACCCGTATAATTATAATAATAATTACCCGGTATTATGAAATTGTTATTCAATCACTCAAAAAGTCAAAAATACACTCAAAATAGCACACAGCATTATATAAATAATATATTAATTTTAGTAGCAAGCAAGCAAATCAACCATTAGTTCAAGGAAGCAGTTTGTTCATTTCTTGAGGCTTTTCAGAATCCTTTTCAGAGCTGACCCTCACTTCAAAGATGTCCACACCAGTTAGGAAGTTATCAAGAAGATAGCTCCATATGAATCCCATTATAGTAAAAGTATTGGCCCTGGAATTATTAATATTAATAAAAAACTGACAGTTAATGAGGAAGTACATACCATTCAAACATTGCTAGTGCTATGCTACCACCTACTGAAATGAAGCTGAATACTACAAAAAAATAAAATAAATTAAAAAGATAAATAACGATATCTATACTTACTTCCCAGTGTGTAGCCAGTTCCAGTGATGACTCCAATAATAGCACAAATTGTTTTAATAATAAAAGAAGATACAGCAATAGTTAGACCAAATCCAGTGCAGTTAGAAGGCTTCCTTGTGATGGTAGTTAGAACTGAAAGAACCATGTACACGTCATAGCATATAAAGAATAACACAGCAAAAACTGTAAATGAAAAGAATTAATGATAATGTACAGCAGCAGAAAATTTGACAAGTCAAAAAGGTTACGAATTTGGTGCGAAATTTTAAGAAATCGCAGACTACAGTGTATTTTAAAAATAAAGTCAACAAAAAGGAATTTTATCGTCTATTATAAACTACAGACACACACTGTGTACTATATTATGTATCCACATACATGAATGCACAGAATCGTCTTCCTTTTCGTTAACAACTCCAACAATCCCAATACTTATTGATGCTACCAGGGCCAGGACTGCATTTAAACTGCTCAAGGGCCTCTCTTTATTTGCATAATAGACAGTAACGGCCTGGAGAGCAAGCAAACTAGCCCCAAACACGACACCAAGACGAAACAAGTACATCTCTGGTGGCTTCACTGCACAATCACTGATCATTGGTAGCCAAGCAGGGACGTGGCCAAGAGCTACAGCAATTGTATAGCAGGTCATTATCGTAAGGAGCATCTCAGAGACTCCATAATGGATTATCTGTCGAGCTGTAATTTTACTGAGAACATCCATCTTCCTGCAAGCACAGCAATAGCAGCCCCACCCTCCTAAGCCACACTCACTCGCAAATTATAATATACGGATATCCGTATACTATAACCACGTGTCGAAGTAGACGCGGTTTTAGATAAGATACTCCGTTAATGGAACGAGTATCTCCGTGTATGAATAAAGCATGGCGGATGATAAGAATGTTAGAACTAAAGGCGGGGAAGAAGGAGTCATAATGAAGAGTTTGTCTGGTAAGAGAGAGAGAGAGCTAGTTATGATTAATATATCATCTTTTAGAGGGAGCTGAGCAAGAGAAAGAAGTGGATTCCTTGTTTGTCAATAAGACCATTTCAACAATAAGGACAGTCGAACAGAGGGCGAGGTAACAGGTATACATGTACATGTACACATGTATTATAATGAATAGATTGGATATCGAGAACAAGAGGGAAGAATTGCGACAGCTAGTCGGGTATGTACATGTACATGTACAGTTTGTTCTGTTTTTAACCCCTTATATTTTTAACCCTTTGTGAACTACAGCGAGCGATATCGTGACATGATTGAAAGTGCTGACTCAGTTATTTCAATGAAAGAGCAATCAATTAACGTAATTAACAATTAATTGATTAATTTATTTATTAATTAGGAATTAGGTGACGGCGAGTTTGAATGAAGTTTTTGAAAATTGTCAAAAATTGCAGAAAAGTCATTTTACAAGAGGAACAGGTGGAAGACAAGCCCCGCCCACCACAAGGTATTTAGTCATTTAGTTGATATTTATTATTATTATTATTATTATTATTATTATTATTATTATTAGTTTAACGAGATCCACAGGTTCCATGAACCAGTTACTGTTACACTTGAAAGACAAAGTTAGTGTTCACTATAATAATTTTCTGAGACGAAATTTTTTGCCAAAAATGAATAGGAGAGATTTCTTTATTTTTATCACATTTCCTGATGCATATACATGTTCTTATGTTGTATAGAAAAGTTTGAGCTGATTTTGATTAAATTTGGATTTTTTACAAATTTTTTAATTTGCTCCAAAATTGGACAAAAGTCCCTGTACTATAGTACAGGGATTTTGGCCAAATTTTACCAAAAATGAAAAGGAGGGAATTCCTCAATTTTATTACATTTCCTGATACATATACATGTTCTTATGTTGTGTAGAAAGTTTGAGCTGATTCCGATCACATTTCGATTTTTAACGAATTTTTAAAGTTGCTCCAAAATTGGACAAAAGTCCCTGTACTATAGTACAGGGATTTTGGCCAAATTTTACCAAAAATGAAAAGGAGGGAATTCCTCAATTTTATTACATTTCCTGATGCATATACATGTTCTTATGTTGTGTAGAAAGTTTGAGCTGATTTTGATTAAATTTGGATTTTTTACTAATTTTTTAATTTGCTTCAAAATTGGACAAAAGTCCCTGTACTATAGTACAGGGATTTTGGCCAAATTTTACCAAAAATGAAAAGGAGAGAATTCTCCATTTTTATTACATTTCCTGATACATATGCATGTTCTTATGTTGTGTAGAAAGTTTGAGCTGATTCCGATCACATTTCGATTTTTAACGAATTTTTAAAGTTGCTCCAAAATTGGACAAAAGTCCCTGTACTATAGTACAGCGACTTTTGCCAAATTTTGCCAAAAATTATTCATCATTATCATTATTATTATTACTAGGGAAAATGCAATGCATTAAGGGGCGAGCCCCTTATAGTTTGAAGCAGTCACTGAAGAAATCGTATTTGATGATTGTATATCTGCTTTGTTAGCCTAGGCTTGCTGCTAGAGAAGAAACATGGCCTAGAATAGATGTCATGATGCAAGCAGCTATAGCAGTACAGTACATGCAGCTTTCTCACTTGCATTCAACTTAGCAGAGTCCTTTATGCCAAGGAAAAGACTGTATATCTGCTTTTCCAACCTTTCTTCTTGCTAGAGAAGTTCTTAGACAGCAGTTTAGTCTTATCTTGCTGACCGTCTGCTGCAAATAAGCTCAGACTTGCTGATGGCCGCCATTTTATTCATTGTGACCACACCCGTTTTCATTGAAGATTAGGCTATTTAACTTTAATGATAGTTAGACGACCCTATCATGCCCGTACATACATACATACATACGTGTACATACAGACGCTTTCTCGCCTTAGTGGGGCGAGCTCAGGCTCGCCCCAATTATTATTATTTTTGATTTATTTACAGATATGGTGTAGTGTTAAAGATGGCCAGTACTTGTTGGGGTGTTCCTGTTATTTATTGTGTCAGCACGTTATTAATCAATTGAGATCAGTGGGTGTGGTCTGGGTAAGTATCGCATGACTGTCACATGACCTTATGAATATTAATTAGCCAAATATGTTTTACCAAATATGGCAAGGGATTAATGAACTTAAGG